TTCTTCTCCATACATGTGTGCTACGAAGTAGAAAACCGATCTGAGAAAGAAAAACGTTAAGAGAAAGAAAGACGCAAATCAAAAGTCGCAAATGAAAGAATGCCACCGCTTCACTCGAACTGGCTGAGCTTTCAAAGAAAAATGGCTCGTTTTTCTCTCTGATTTCTTCTCACTGAAAGCGTATTTCTTATCCTTCCAGACATGGACTGTCACGAGCGTGTTGTAAAACACGTGAAACTGCTTCCATTGAGACACTAACTTTTGAAGAAGTTTTGATTTCCGTACCCGTCTGGATAAAGTCGTATTATTTTCTCACGATACGGCGCTTATCTCGGTCGGATAGTAATCAGGGTTCCTCCCAGAATCATATCCTGTAGCATCCTTGAGAAATTTGTTCGTTATGAAGTCACCCCGACAAATTCCAGCGTGAGCTGACACTTCAACAATTCCTGCGTCTCTTTTGCTAGGATTTTCCTTTTACGGAAGTTCGACAGCGGTTTTGCCTTTGCTATAAGCTAAGGAACTTGAGTGGGTAATAATTTCAAAATTTGATTGGGTAAAAGCAAAATGCAGCAGAGAAACATGTGGTGGAACTATGATTTTGCGTCATAGGCAAGTCGGGTATTTTCGAAAAAATGAGGATAAAAAATTTTTGCTTTCTCAAACTGGATTTCCGTGATAATATTCAGATTCGCATTTGCATGTGTCACAATTTGTCTGTAGAGCCCTTTTCAAAAACATCTCCAAATTCTAGTTTTTGGGAAATTTGTAGGTGGAACTAAGATTATGCGTCGCAGTGTACGAGGGCATCCTCTACGACTGAGCTGAAGAGGAGGCAGGAGCTCCGGGAAAATGAAAATGGGTCAGGTTCTTTGAGTTCCTCCTCCCCTGCCTGAGGCTCAGTTCCCTTTTCATTAATAAAGACATCTTTTACGCGATTTCAAATGCATCGCCACCAGAACGCCCGTATACTGCGATAGCGCCGAAAAATGTAATAGTTACCATTATAGGCTCCAAGACGGGTGGGGCTTAACTTACTTGCTTGTATAGAGAAATCGGGTGTGTACCAAAAGTCCACGTTGCGGGTCCACACGAACAAAAATTTGCACCACTCAGTCCAATTCGTTTGTGTTCTGTCTCGTCTCGTTTGCACTGTTATCTCAGTCACCTCAGTGATCGCATCATGGTCTTGGGCCGCCGCGATTACAGCAGTGTGCTTACGTCAGTGCGACCAGTAGCTTTATTTAGGGAAGAGAGTCTCAAACGAGAGCGGGGAAGTGAGTGCAGATGTTTAGGGGAGAGTTTGTAAGCGGATGCAACCATACTGTGGCGTCGCAGATGTGGACGCCGCCATTGCGGCGGAGTTTTAACGGCTAGCCATAGAGTGGCGCGTTAGCCGCCGCTAGGCCGATGTCATAGTCTGCGAATCGCTAGATTCGCATCGAACGTTGCGCCAGTGAATCGACTATGTGCCAGCGACTCGACACTGTTTGAAAGTGGTGGTCCAACGTCAAAGGAAGTCCACTTCAAAGGACCACACTGTTTGAAAGTGGCGGGCCTTCCTTAAACGTTGGGTCCCGCCACTTTCAAACAGTGTTGAGTCGCTGGTACATAGTTCGACTCGCTGGTACATCGTCGATTCGCTGGCGCAAAGTTCGATTCGCTGGTGCAACGTTCGATTCGCTGGCGCAACGCTCGGATCCAGCGATTCGCTAGCGAATCGCTCGATTCGCAAACTATGACATCGGCCTAAGTGGCTGCTGAAGTGGGGTCTGCCTCGTATAGCTCCTCCTTCATTTCTTCACGCCTTTGCCTCTTCAAACGCCATAACTATCTCTCATCAAAATCTACCAAGTGTTTCTTTTGTAATAGATCTATTTGGTCGTTCCTATGAAATCGTCAACATTATGGAAGTGATACCAATCAGTTAAAGGTGACTATGGTGGTCGGAGGACCTACAATCACCCTGTCCAACGGCACAAAGATGCCACAAGTTGGGCTAGGAACTTGGCAGGTGAGTAGCCTTTTCGCTAGTTTTCTCAGCATTAGGCTTAGTGGTTGCTTGATGCGGTCTTCCAACCGCGAAAATTAGAAGGTAGCCTCAGTTCCGCGAAATCCAATACTCGAAACCGAGCATAAGGGAAAACGCATCACTACACAGTGTCCTTCACATTTTTTCAAAACTTTTGCGTCTCATCTCCCTTCCAGAAATCCTGATAGGACACACTCTATCACCCCACGTGCGGTGGGGGGAAGTCGCTTACGAATAAGACTGTACCCCTGGGACTAGTCGACGCGCTCTACTCCGCCCTCTGCTTCTTTCCAGATCGGCCCGTAAACTGAAGGAGGGGGGAGCGGACAAATATGCCTGAAAACGTCAAATTCTCTAATGTTTCTCTATTTCTCGCTCTATTCATGTAATTCCTTCCGCATTTGTCGAAAAACTATCACAAACGGCTCCCTGCGATCACGACCTCTTTAACTTCTACAAATGCTACACTCCCCAGTTCCTATAGCACGAACGGACGGGTCGTTCTATTCCCGCTAGTAATGTACAACCAACGCCTTTCACAGATAAATCCACTTGACCAAGCTTTCTTTCTGAGAAAAACACAGTGGGTGGTATAGCGATTAAACCAATGTTGCCTTCTACTCTTATCCCAGTACCACCTCTGTGATCCTGAAGGTAACGGGTGTTGTGATGATGAGCTGATGCAAGGTCGTTCATTAATGGAGCGGCATTGGGAAGTATAGTCGGAGTGCTTACCATCATCCTCCACCAAGAGCACTTACGATTAGTCCGCACCGCCCTCCCGGCCATCCCTCCTACCAAGGTGAATAACGGTCATGGAACTCTACAATCTGGCCCTGTACCGTGTAATAATACTGTCGAGAGTGGAGGGCGCAGACGGATCAAGCGTTAAGAGAGTGAATGTCCGCGCCGGAGAGCATCACCGAATAGGCGAAAATCTTCGATGAGTCGTAGACAGAATCCTCGAACGTTTTTCACCCTGCCTCCTACTAATTTTGAGAGCACACTCACCAAAAACAAAGCACATTCTAATAAGTAATCTCTCATTTGAACAGTGTTGTTTCAGTCTAAACCTGAAGAGGTCAAGGCAGCTGTAAAAACTGCTGTAGAGGCAGGATATCGTCTAATTGACACGGCTACTTGCTACGAAAATGAGAGCGCTATCGGCGACGCTATCAAAGAGTTGATTCAAGAAGGAAAAGTCACTCGAGAGGAGCTCTTCATTACCACCAAGGTATGGAAAAGTTTAGCTTATTATAATAAAGGATAAAGGATAAAGCATTTGCCGTTGATCAATCCCTTTTTGGGATGCGGCACGCATTCTACTTCCATTTGTACATTCGTAGTGGCGTTTGAATGCGATGTGGCCTATACAATGACTTGCGGGGGCCAGCCGATGTACAAGTCAGTGTTTTTATCCTCCCAGACAAGTCTGGTACCAATTAACCGACCCCGGAGGGATGGAAGGCTTGGTTGGCCCGGGCGACTCACGACCCAGGATTTGATCCCCGGACCGCTCGCGTGGTAAGCGTGCCACTTGCCACTACACCACTTCCGCCCAGCTTACTATAGTAGAACACAAGAAAGAGAGAATGCAAGGGAAGGGCCGAAGGAATTCGCTGAGTCTCCGCATTCAAAAAGTGAATCCTACTGAATGCTGAATTGATAGATTGACAGAAAGTTTTAGATTGTTCTACCGGAACATTTGTCAAATTATAAAGTAAAATCAATAAGCTGCGGGTGTAGCGACAACAGCTGATGGAGACGCTGGTTCACTACTTGCTCGTTGTAAGGATTAGCAATACTAGCGAATAGCGTAACAGTTTGACGTCAAATTACTTGGATGGTAGTAGATTTAGGGAGTATGTACTTTACGGCGTGGACTCCAAGATCGGCCGGCTGACTGAAAAGGATGCAGATGCCATACGCGGGATAAGGCTAGCCAAGTTCGGAGCACGGTGGCTCCTGGAATTTGTTCGCCTTAGACCTTCATAGGTGTTCAAGGCCCATTGCAAAACAACTAATGCCTATTATAATATTAGTACAGTAGTTAGGTTCTGTGGCGCAATGTGGCTCGGGGGGGGGGGTTGCTGTGTAAAGGCCTCCCAGAGACGAACTTCGGAGAGTACGAAAATTTTTACTGCATATCGCATACCTCTCCTCTCAAAAGGTTAACGCTGGAAGCGAGCGTTTCAATGATCCTGAGGCGATGTTGGATGGTGCCCTCTTCTCCCTTCCCCTCCCCCCCCCCCTTAGGCCACATTGCGTCAGATTTGTGTCTAATGGCTATGAGCCTTTTGTAGAAATGTGCAGAATATCCATAATTTACAGTTGTGGCTCACCCATTTGCATCCTGACGACACCGAAACTGGAATTCGCGAGATCACTTGGTCGCCTTCAGCTAGACTACGTCGACCTTTACCTTGCACATTTTCCGACGTGCTTCAATGTAAGTCATCACAATCTGTCAGCTCTGCCTCTCTAGTCAGGTTTGACTGGTACGAGAAAGAAATGCGAGGGAAGCTCCCCTCTCCTAAAGTATTCGAGCATGGCTTATTTTATCGAAGTCGTCTGTATCGGGGCAATTTACATGGATGTTCCGCCTCACTACAACACTTCTCCCGCGGTGAAATCCACAACTTTATTTCCAGCATGATATGACTGAACAAAATCCTTCGGTAACCGTTCAAGACATTTGGCGTGGTTTGGAAGGTGTGTACAAAAAAGGATTGACAAAGCAGCGATCGGTGTGTCGAACTGGAACGGAGAACAGATCGAGCGTGTTCTCAAGACCGCAAAGTTGCAATCTTAACCTGATCAGGTTCTCGTTTATGAGCGTTGGCGCGATCCGATTTGTCGTTGTCCAGGATCTTAATTTCTTTGTTATTCAGAGTTGCAGCTCGTACGTTCTATGTGGCCTCAAGCATGTAATTACATAGAAAGTTTGTAAAAAGCACAATATTTCTTTGACGTCTTACGGCTCTCTACTAGATCACCTGGTCGCGTCAACTTCTCTCTTCCAAGTGGAGCGTGAGTGCATGAAAGAGGAAAAGGCGCCAGTTCATCATTTCAGCTGCTGCCCAAAGCTAAACCTTCATCCTCAAAAAGCTTGGACAGGGGTGGGGGTGGTGGTTTCATATTTTAACGTATTAGGTTGGAAAGAAAGTCCTGCAACACTTTTCAAATTTTTGATTTTAATTTTATCTTTTTTGTTTACAACTCCTGACCGGTCTTATATCTACCATGAGTGTCCACCACTTGTCTTCAACGCTCAGAAAATTTCTTGATGCTCCTTTGCCAAAACCCAGCGGAGTGCGGGTCGAGAAAGGAGGCGACCTCACTTTCGAGTTGGAGTTGATCGTCTAATTATTTCGTCATCAAGATGATGATTTAAAGGTCCAGGATAGGTGGCAGTCATTTATAGCTCGACCAGGGAGAATATGAAATTGGAAAAACCCACTTTCTTGGCATACCGGGTCTCCAACATCTGTCTGGAGATCTGTAAAAATCGAAATATTGACACAATAGAAGCGAAATCGTAACAATTTGCAGTAAAATTGTATTGCGGACGGCCTGTAGCAAATCTTCGAGGACGCAAGAATCGTGAAAGGACTTGGGCGAAGAAATACCTCAAAACCCAAGCTCAGAGTTTGCTAGAACATGGTAAAGCCAGTTCGAAGGAGGCTTTGGCGAAAGTTCAAAATTCGAATCTGAGATTTTGACTGCGCTGATTTTAATGCGAGTCGAAACATCGCCGATTAATCGGAAGTCCGGTCAAATGCCAGCAACGAATTGCTTGAAGAATTGCCAAGTATGTGCTGTGGAATATGTTCAACCATGCACAATTTTTCGTCAATTCCAGCTTTAAAGTTCGTATTTCTTTCATGTATTCGACTTTGCGCTGACGCCTGAAGACATAAAACTGCTTGAGTCGTCAAAACACCGTCAAAGGCTTTTCAACCAAGACTTGTGAGTTATTCCTAAATTAAAGGACGAATTCACGATGAAAAAGCAACCCATTTTATAATTAACGCGTAAGGATTGGTGGGTGGAGTACACGAAAGAAGGAAGAACCATGAGAAACGGCCCAGAACCCGAGAAATGGGACCCCTTCCTTGCCCGTTGATTCGAGCATTGATGCGACTCTCATCGCTGTGCCCTCTTCAACACTACGCTCTCTCAGCTATCTAATCACTCGCCACGTATTGAACTACGGCGAGTGATCAGATGATCGGTGGGCGGAGATCGCCGGACCCGCCAGCTTTGAGGCATGATAGGTCGCCGAGGTCAAATTTTTCCATGCGAATTGCGCGTCAGTTCGCACCCTCAGGAGGTCCGTGGGTCCCTCAACTAGGTCAGTTTCCCTTTCTTCGACCTTCATTCTAATCGTGAAATTCCTCCTTTAAGCTCTCAGAGTTAGAGTAAAATAGGCTAGTTGGATTTGTGTGCGCTTAAAGGACAGGATGAGCGGTCGAAGGCGTTGTACGTGTTATTAACGTTATTTTGGATCGTCATTCGTAGTGAAGAACAGTGCCCAACTACGACCCACCCCAATCACCCCCCCCCCAGTGCCAAAAAGGGGACGTGGCGAAGTCAGTTCACCATTAATTGTTAAGGGACGTTCGGGTTCAAAACCGCACGCCCTGTAGGGCTGGTCGTGAGTCACTGCTTCAAATCTCCTAAAAAGGTGCGTGTATTCTGCCAGGAGAATGTTAGGTAGGATTGTCAGAAGGAAAAGGAGTTTATGGATATCGATACTGATGTCCGGAGTGGTTGATCTCGGTGGGTGATGCTTTCAAGAGATAATAACGTGGTGACCACTTTCTCCAAACAGGGTAAGGTAAATATAAAACCCTCTCCCGGGTTACAGTAAGGCCTTGGAGCGGCTAAGGAAGCCTCACTGGCAGTGTGAAAGACAGGGGAGAGGTCACATCGGCATAATATGCTACTTGATTCAAAAACTAGTTATCATCGCTAGATTTCTTTACGTAGATGAAACATGAGTTTTTACCCTGGCCAAGATTTTAATGGGTCCAAGTGGGGCGGCTGAGAGGAGCTCGGTAGGAGAAAGGACTGAGGATCGATTCCGGTGAACCTAAAAATCGATCAGAAGGGGTGTTCGAAAATGGCTCCAAGGAAAAGCTGCTTAGTTGGACCGGGTCGGTCGGGATGAGGCGGTCAGATAACTCCCTTCCCGTCCCCTTTACTAATGTGGCTGGGACTACAAGCAGAAGGGTGACACCGCGCTCCTGTCTACAAGCGACGCGGCAATCACGTCCCTGGCCCGGTATTCAGAGCGATGGCAAGGGAGGGGCCACTTCGGCAAAATCTATGGCCGCCCACCGTGGAATGTGGGCTGCCATAGGGCGCGGAATCAGCTGGAATGATTGACTGCTGACACGAAGCTAGCATGACCAGCAAACTCGTTCAGACACGCCCTCCTCCCCCATTGCTGCCGTTGCGGAGATGGGTTTCGTTCCGGCCTTCTCGACAGCTTGTTCCCCTTTCACCTTCACTCATATTTAACTACTCGCCTCTGCACAAAAATGAGTTTACCAAGTCATATGCTTTCATTTCAGCATGGAAGGCCATCCGGAAGATGCATTCGCCGCTGAAAGGAAGCATTAAGCAACACCTCAAGCGTAATCCTCGATGCCGAGTAATAGTTCCTCTGCAATGGTGACGCTTCATTGATCCCAGTACAGGCACCTAGTACATAATTGCTTTATGTGGAATAAATAGAAGTAAACCTCTCACGATTCGAACATGTACATATTGTGGCTTTTCAGTCTGGTCCATTCTCCTGTATGATGTAGTTACTATTCACTCCAAAAGCCAGATTAACTCTTTGACTACTGGTGGTACACATGTGTACCATTTCCGTAGTCAAAGTCACTACCACAGTTTTGGCACTTATTGAGATCGGAGGCTTTATGGCGGAATTGTGCACAATTAGAACTTTGTGATTCTTACTCCAACACCAAATCGTCATAAGTCAGAGCGAGTTGTCCTGTATAAGTCATCAAGCAAGCTTAAAGGCACAACCCAGGCAGAGGTCGTGTGAACGCTTCCTTCGGTCTGTAGTATAGACCCCTAGAGGACAATCACAAATGTGGCGTTCCCGTGCACGGAAACCAACCGACAAGAGCGCTTGGGCCTTGCAAAGTAAGCTGCTAAGCTGCAGATTTTTCTCTTATCAGGCTGTTGTCTGGCGCCTCTCATCTGTAGCGCTCTCTCGCCTCATACTCTCCTCTCCGCGCTTAGTCTCTCATTCCCTTAGCACAGCCGATTAGGAAGGTGAGTGAGCCCTTAACCTAAGCGTTTTCGACGGATTCTTTTCCTTTTTTCTTTACTGCCGGCCCACTTTCGCACCAATACATTCGCATTCGTGTGCAAGAGCCACACCAATGCGATCCTGGGGCATGCCTTTAACGCAGGTTCTTGTGTAGTGCGCACACCTTAAAAATTACTTTTGAGTCTCACACTCTTTACACTTGCAATAATGGTTCCAGTGTTTCCCGCAATTATTGTATCACGTGCAACATAAGCAAACCGATGACGGATGGGAGGCATTTTGTCGGCCGCAAGCCAGTCAGAGGACGACGCGGCGTACTACGACTGTGTTATTCCTCCAGGTTCTGTCAGTTCGGATGGTGCGGAAGTGGTAGTAGAAGACTCCTATGATGCGCAGCTTTCGAGCATAAAAACCCACGAAAATTCGTTAGAGCAGAAGCAGCCGGTGGGCGCAGCCTGTAGGCAGCGGGAGCAGCACTTCCTACCAAGTGAGGCCT